AATGAACCATCCCAATGCACAGGAAGACTAGCACAAAACACAAAAAGGAAGCTTACAAGTGGAAACATGGAAAAATGACTGGGAAGGAGTATATGAGTATTGCTGGGGCATGCAAGGATGAAATTGGGAAGGCCAAAGAGCAATTGGAGTTGCAGATAGCAAAGGATGTGAAGGGCAACAAGAAGAGTTTCTATGAGTATGTCAACCAGAAGAGGAAGATCAGGGAATGTATGGGTCTCTCAGACAATGGGGGAGATAACCTAGTGAAAAATTATGTGGAAAAGACTGAAGTACTCCATACCTTTTTTGCCTCAGTCTTCACAGACAAGGTCAGCTGCCAGACTACTGCACCCAGCAGCACAGCTTGGGTTGGAGGCGAGCAGCCAATGGCGGTAAAAAAAAACCCTATTTAGAAAAGCTGGATATGTACAAGTCCATGGGGCCAGACGTGATGCACCTGAGGGTACTGAGGGAGTTGGCTGCTATGATTGCAAAGCTGCTGGCCATTACCTCTGAAAACTCAAGGCAATCAGGATTGGTCCTGGATGATTCGAGAAGGACAAATATAGTGCCCATCTTTAAGAATAGGAAGAAGGAAGATAGAGGGAACTAGAGACCACTCCACTGCACCTTAGTCCCCAGAAAAAGCATGGAGCAGGTCCTCAAGGACTCCATATCTAAGCATTTGGAGGAGAAGGTGATTAGAAGCAGTCAACATGGATTCACCACGGGAAAGTCATGCCTGACCAGTCTGATTGCCTTCTATGATGAGGTTACTGACTCTGTGGATACACGGAGAGCAGTGAACTTTAGCAAGGCTTTTGATACAGTCTCACCACAGATGGATCATAGTTATCCTTCACGGACACCTTAGGCAGTCTGTGGACTCCCAGGGGTCTGCAGACCATAGGTTGAAAGCCACTAACTTAGACATATTGGAGGACTGGACCAAAAAATCTCATGAGGTTCAATAAGGACAAGTGCGAAATCCTGCACTTAGGACGGAACAATCCCATGAACCAATACAGGCTGGGGACCAACTGGCTAAGCAGGAGCTCTGTAGAAAAGGACTGCAGGCCACAGTGGACAATATGCTGAATATGAGCCAATAGCGTTCCCTTGTTGAAAAGAAAGATAATGGCATACTGGGCTACATTACTAGGAGTGTTGCTAGCAGATCAAGGCAAGTGATTCTTCCCCTCTATTTGACACCGGTGAGGCCACATTTGGAGTACTGTGTCCAATTTTGAGCCCCCACTAGAGAAAGGATGTGGATAAATTAGAGAGTTCAGTGGAGGGCAACAAAAATGGCTAGTGAGCTGGGGCACATGACTTCTGAGGAGAGGCTGAGCGAACTCGGCTTATTTAGTTTGCAGAAGAGAAGACTGAAATGGGATTTGATAGCAAGCTTTAACTATCTGAGGGATGGTTCCACAGAGGATGGAGCTAGACTGTTCTCAGTGGTGGCAGATTACAGAACAAGGACCAATGGTCTAAAGTTGCAGCAAAGAAAGTTTAGGTTAGATATTAGGAAAAGGTTTAACTTTTGTGCTTGACTTAGGAGGGGTTTCAAAATAACATTTAAGGTCTAGATACAGGACCAAGTTTTCAAAAAGGCAAGTTCTGCACTTGCAATTTTGCCTGAAGCAGAACTATAGCAACAATCTGAGTCCTTCCACATCTACTAGGTAACAGCTTTAGTAATATACTCCAAAATGCTGAATTTATTTAAATATCAGTAACTATTTAGAACTACTGCTTTTCTTTGGCCCTCTCATAGATTTCATAGACATTAGGGGCTGGAAGGGACCTCATAAGATCATTAAGTCCAGCCCCCCTGCCATAGGCAGGAGTCTGCGGGGATCAAATGATCCCAGCAAGATAAACATCCAAACACCTTTTGAATGAGTCCAGAGTAGACTAGGTGAAATAAAAAACGAAAAAGTGAAAGCTTTTGTCTTGGAATAATATGAGTGGCAAGGCAAACCAAGGTGAAAATGGTGGCCAGCAGGATAATTCAGATCAAGAAAGTCATCCAACTCTACAGCAGCTTGACCCCAACATAGCCCCCGAGGCAGCTCTCCAGCTCCCAGCTAGAGATCCAGCCAAGAAGCTAGCAGAGGCTCAAGCCAAAAAGCCAGAAACAAACCTACATGCCTACAAACAAAGCTATATTCCAGAATTTGGCATCTGGGTCCTTCAGCTGCCAAACATCTCCCATCTGGCCAAATCTGTGGACTGAGTTGTTAACAAAAGAATTGGAGTAAACTGTACAGGAGCAAAGAGATGGTATCTGTAGGACATAGAGGTCAGGAGCATGCTGTACCCAACAATGTTTGAAATGGATAAATAGCCATTGAAATACATTGAACTGGAGAGAGATTTGGAAGGACACAATAACAATTCCATTTGTGGAAATGGGCAGTTGACAAGTAAGAGAAGAAGTAACAATCAGGATCAGCAGTCACTGAAATCTGCTAGATTTCAATAAGAGGAAAGGCTTTGATACCAATTTTTTAACACAATTAAATCATTTTTTACACTGACTGGGCTAGTATGTCCATCCCTGTAACATTAAGGGATTGATCTGAGGGAATTCTACAGTCTTTGGTAGACTTCATGAATACAATAAAGCAGCAAAGGTGAAAGGATCATAGAGAAAATTATTCTCATTTGTGCTTCTCTTTACTCGCATAATTGAATTCAAAATCAAGTTTTTGCAATGTAATAATAGAAATAAATATAAGTGAATCTCCATCCGATTCAAAATAACAAACTTCCTAAAATGTAATTAAAAACATTTCAGGGACATTAAATTATCTAACACTTTACACAGAAATTTTAATACAATACATTATTTACACTCATATAGCTGTATTTAATTAATAAATAATTCATAGTTTTCCAAAACTGTTCCTATCCTTTTATTTTTCCTAACTGTAATAGCCTAAATATCCAGTAAGCAAAGCCAGCTGCAATGACTTCTTCACAATGTGAAGATTTTTAAGTGGACTAAAGGAGTTAATAATTTCACATGATACTTTGAGATCAGTGTTTATCACCCGCTGTAAACTACACACCAACAGGTCCCCATTGTTTAAATGAGATTTCACAGAGGTCACTGAAGGAACTTTGTGGCCCATTAAGTTAAAAAGATACAGAAGATCCTATAAAACTTTTCCTAAATGTTCTAGCTGTGGTAAGTTTTATTTCACCAATCCAATGTATGGGGTGCTAGTCTCTCCTTTCAAACCTACGAGAAGAAGAACTAAAGGCACTGAAACCAGATTTAGAGAGAAGTACAACTGTTGCTACAGTAAAATCAGGCTCATTAAATCTGTAGGTAGCCTCTGCATGTACCCCAGGGAACCTTATTACTGATATCTTGTATTCATTGTTTGACACACAAGCTACAATTCTGAATCTGTAAACAGTGAAAGTATACAAATTATCATGATTTAAAAATTGAAGCCCTCATTTTAGGATAAAATGGTGGGGATCAAAAGAAGCCTGTATCCAAAGTGCATGCATGTTTCACTATCTGTTTTTTTAAGACAGTGGTTATCAGCCTGTGGTCTGCAGACCCCATGGGGGTTCAAAGATTGTATCTAAGTGGTCCATGAAAAATGACTATGTTCAATCAAAAGTATGTGAATACTCACACTTACAATTCAAAGGAGTCCACACCTCCACTCCAAATTTCCAAAGGGTTCCACACCTTCATTTGAAATATTTTAGGGGTCCGCAAATGAAAAAAGGTTGAAAACCACTGCTCTAAGAAACAGAGCTTAAGGAGAGAAGCATGTTCTCATTCCAAGAAGAAACACTTTCAATTGGATTGAACAAAGTTGTTAGGACTGGGTTTTTAAATGAGAACATATTTGTCTGCAGTCACTGATATGGTTCAAATGCTCAATAAATGTTAAAAATATATACAATTTTTTTGTTCCCAAGTAACATTCATGCTTTGGGTTCTCCTAATTAAGTTGCCACTGCCATTTTGGAAATCTTAGTAATAGGGTTTAGCAGCTTTTATAATAAAAGTGTCTGTATTTAAGATGGAAAATGGCATATTGATAATGGGAGTGGATCTGGGGAACAATCTCTGTATTTGACTGTTCATTAGGAGGAGAAAACAAAATTGCTTTTAAATGATGTTCCTTCTTAATTTACTTAGGAAGCTGAGTTATACAGAATGTGTGTCACTGAACCAAATGAAATATACTTTATTATATAAAGTCTATCAACAGTATGCTTTGTTTCGTACTGTTTTCACTTTGTCTTCTGATAAAACAGAAGAAATGAATAAAAAAAGCTGTTAAATCCAAAGAAATAGTACACAAATAGCACACACAAGATCAGTCATACATCCCATTATACACTATGTAAGGTCTGTTTGTGCACTACAAATTCTTGGAGCCCCCACTCTCCTCATATCATGTGTGGGATCATCCCACATTACATTTGACTTCACTGAGTGTGGTTAAGTGCTCAGCACTGGAAAGCAGGGGGTTTTATATGGAATTAGGAAAGTATATATAATCATATGGAATTAGGAGCTTAACTTTAGACATGTATTTTTGATAAGACACTTATCTTTTCCATGAATAACTCAGTTTATAATCCTGTAAGTATGTTACATTAGGTTTATTGACAATGACTCATTATAAGCTAAGCTGAGGAATACCACTTTTGTGAAGTGATATATGGTTGAATTAATTGCAGCAGTCTACTTTGGCTATATTCTATAATGTCAATCAGCAGACATGCTGCTTCTATTTTCATATTTTATTTACCTTGTGTTGAAAAAAAATCCAGACCAACCCCTTCCTGCCTCTCTCCTCCAAAATACCTGTTAACTGCTAACCATGCACAGCCCCACATGGCCGCTCTTACAGTACCAGGACATGACAGAGAAGAAAAAGGCACTAAAACAAATTGCTACTAGACTTTGTCAGTAAAACAGAACATTATAAAATACACAATAAAATACATCATACCTGGAGTTGAAAAAACGCAAAGGGTTAAAAGTTGACCTGGCACAGCCCCACATGCTCTCTCTGGAAATTGAACACAGACAATTAGGAATGTTAAAATACCCCCCAAACAATTGCATGGGGCTTAGATAAACTGGTGGAACACCTACAGCAAAGATACACCTGTGGCCTGGGAGAGGAAGGGAATTACAACTTAACCTAAAGTCCAGTTTCATCTTTCTTTACACTGAAATTAATCTGTAGCGTTCCAAACATGTTATTGGGAGTGTTGCCATTAAATGAATTGGAGCAGAATATCAGCTTAAGGGCCAGGATGTAAACTACCAATTAATAGGAGGATTTTCTCATTACAAACTAAAACAAAACTCCCAACATTTTATTCCAAGTGTTAACAGGAATTTATATTGTGCAAAGTGAAAGAAAGCTAAAGTGACCTTCTGCTCCCAGAATTCTTGCTGCAAAGTATATAGTATATAGTTCCAAATATGCCACAGAAAAATCGATCCATTAACCTTTTTATTTAAAACTAAAATTCTAGGGGAAAAATACTTAATTTCCCACAATATTATTTGTAAATTTTAGCACCACTAATAAACTATAGTGCTGCCATTTGGAATACATGGAATATTCCTTGTCACTGACAAATTCTGATCTATTACATGTGCTTGAAAAAGTAGTATTATACAGCTGGCTTTCTGAAACAGTTCCATCAAATAAAAAAAAATGTAGAAAGCCAAATTCATGAATAGCCCTCTTCAGTCTTGTTCCCTGTGGTTCAGATCTCTAATGTACCATGAAACTTGTCTAAAGCCAACGCCCAAGGAACCAGCAAAAAATATCATTTTTCTAGCACACTAATAATTGAGCTGAAATGCTTTTGAAAATCTTTAGGATACTTCATATTGATCACTTAGAATGTAGGAGGTTGCACGAGGGGTCCTTTTATACAGATATCACCAATAATGATAGTATATTCATATGGGGCAGTTTCCAAAGAGCCTATTCAACTTCTTTCAGTTTTCCATTTTCTTATCTATTGATGGAAGTTGGGATCCTCAGTGTCTGCTCAGGCCTCTGCTTTTATACTTTCATGTTGCCAAAGTTATGAATAATTATTTTTTGAAATATAGCATTCCTTTTTAAAACACTCTGCATTTGCTTGTCACAAGTATGTAGAATATACTTTTCTTCACTGTTGCAAAGTTGATTTTGATTTCATTTGGTAATAAAGGACAAACGAAGGGGGAAATCTGCTAGTCATGACACAGAAAAAAACATAACAAATTTTAAATAAGTAAAAAGTAAAAGTAAAAATGATTAGGTCTACCATGCCTGCCAGGTTGGCTGTCTTGATCACATCTGCTTCTGTTGTACCTTACCCTACGATCTCCTCCTTCTTCAGAAATATGCTTATAGTAAGTGTCTCCTGAACTCATTAGTTGCTTGTCAAGCACAAAGTGACATATGATTTTACTCAGAGCTGCACTAGCACATAACCAGAAATGCACTGGGACAAATTCTTCCCTGGCATGTACTCAAATTGCCTTCAACTAGAGTCAATAGAAGCTGAATACATGCCTTCAAGGGAAGAAAATGTTATCTATGGATTGCTCTAGAAATACATACCTGGATGTCATTATACAAAATTACATCTCACATTTAAATCGTCATATCTTATGTTCCACTATTAACTTCACAGTGGATGCATCTACATGAGACATTTACTGCAGAGTAGACTAATTAACTCCCAGCAAATGTCTCATGAATACATATGCAGTCCTATAGGCATAGGAATCTAATTAACTCTGCAGCAGGGTAGTATTTGTAAATATAAATACTATCCTGCTGCAGAGGTTTTTACTTCACAGCAACACATGTGTAGAAAATGACATGGTTGGCTGGGGCACTGGTGCGTCAGTATGGGGGCTGCCTGCCAGCTAGTTCCACACTGGAGCACACTCGTGCCCCAACCAACCCCTTCACAGCACTTTGAGCCTGGTCAGAGCAGTCCTGGGCTGGCAGGCTGACTGCCTGGGCCACCTGCCAGCCAGGGCTGCTCCAACCCAGCTCAACTTGCTGCAGTCCTGGGCGCACATTCAAATGCAGTGCCGGAGAGCAATGAATGCAGGCATAATGTGCACCAGAGTTCATTGCTGCATACTAATAGCAAGTGTAGACATGCCCAGTTACTAGAAAAATATTTACTTGTTAATGTAATACAACTAGCTACTTGTCCAGAAAGTACTACTTATCTGCTATATTTTTCAATTAGGTCTCTTTTTAAGAAGCATAAAAGAAGACTGATAAGACCAAATTTGCAAGGAAGAAAAACATTTTTCACATTGAATTTCATCCTCACAATATTGTTAGCTTCTGCATGCAGGTAAAAGCTATTGGGTTATTTTTTCCTTTAAAAAATTATTATATCACTAAAAATGTCAAATTTCATTTCATTAAAAAATAAAAACAAATTCTGCACAGTATAATCAAGTTCACCATATTTATATAGGAAAAGACTGCCATCCTATAAGAGAAATGGCAAAATTTTACTGTGGGATTAAGTCTTGGAGATTTGAGGTTTTACTTATGAATGTTCATTAAAGGTCAGATTTTTAGAAGTACTTAGTCATCTAATCTTGATTTTTTCAAGCGCTTATACAACTAACTCCACCTGAAAGCAACAAGTTAAGATATCAAAAGTGCTTTTGAATAATTCTACTAATTGCTTATCTAAATCTTTAAATTCCTACATATCCCTGAAGTTAGGCCCAAGTGTATATTGGTATTTTTACTTTGCCTTGTGGTAGCATTTATTAAGATACTAGCTCTAATTGAATATAATGGAAAATCTACTAACAGGGTTTTTGCAAATTATATGATACAGTTTTAAAACACTCAGCTGATGACATTCTACCTTCCCAGTTCAGCTGACTGCCTGAAAATTGTATCACCTTCTTTAAATTAAAAAGAGATCAATTGTTTCCCTGTAGTGTAAAGGCTACAAAGCATTTTGTTATCTTTGCAGTGATGGGACAGTTAAATAGCTCAACATTTTGACCACTTCAATCAATTAAGACAAAATTTCAGAGGCAAACAAAAGTTTCAGTCTCTTCAGTTTTATTTTAGCTCAAGCTGAGCTTGTGATGGCTTCAATTCAGTGTCACCTATTATTTACCTACAGTGCCATACAATTGGTGCCCATTTGCAGCAATATCTGGTAGAAGCAACAACTGCTTATCAGCAATATTTCCCCCTGGAAAATTTTCCTTACCATTTAGGTAAAAAATACTCCCTGTAATAGAAACAGCTGTTTAAGAACAACAGGTGCACCAGGGCACTGCCTGACTTCTCAGTAATTGACTAATCAATACTATTATTTTTACAAAATTTTTGACAAGTTACACAAGTACTGAAATCAAGTTTCTAAGATATTATATTTTGGATTCTAAGTTTCTTTATGGGACAGTTTCTTGACTGGGATGGGTTTCATAGTTTCTAGGGTCGGAATGGACCTAAGTAGATCATCTAGTCTGACCCCCTGCCGTGGCAGGAAAGAGTACTGGGGTCAAACGACCCCAGCAAGGTGTTCATCTAACCTCCTCTTAAAAACCGCCAGGGTAGGAGCCTGCACCACTTCTCTTGGAAGTTGGTTCCAGATCCTAGCCACCCTGACCATGAAGTAGCACCTCCTGATATCTAACCTAAATCTACCCTCTGCCAGCTTGTGACCATTATTCCTGGTCACTCCTGGCAGTGCTCGGGGGAACAGGGACTCCCCCAATGCCTGCTGATCCCCCCTGGCTAGTTTGTAACAGGCCACTAGATCCCCCTCAGCCTTCTCTTCTGGAGGCTGAACAGGTTCAGGTCCCATAGCTTCTCCTCATAGGGCCTGCCCTGCTGTCCCTT